TACGATTCCATTGGTCAACTTCTCTGTTTTTATGCCAATACCAAGCTGTTTTCAATACTGAAGCTCTGTAATAGAGTTTGAAGTCAGGGATGGTAATGCCTCCCGAAGTTCCTTTATTGTATAAGATTGTGACTTTTTTTTTTTTTAAGGGAGGCAAAAAAGAAGCCATGTTTTGCCATCTGCGGATTAGTGATAAGTCAGAACAAGTAGTAGTTACGTCTGGTGCTGAGCTCAGCAAGAACTCAGTTTTGTCAACGTCGTTGATATTCCCGAATCACCAACTCCGAGGCAGAGAAGCAGGCTGCATGGGAGGCTGCATTCATTTGTGTTTGCAGTTCCCCTGTGCTACCCCCCTAGGTCCTACAGGCAAAGGTGTTGCATGTCTTGTCCCTCCTGGTGGTGTGCTGGTGACCTTTGGCCATTTTGGCTGGAGAAGCATCATCCTAGTTTCCGCCTTCCTCGGCAGTTTCTGTTTTATCTTAGTTCCAGTGAAGTGTCCATGGCTATCTTTGTGGCCAGAATCCTCCTCTGTAAAAGTACACTAGAAAGACCATTCTCAAATACTGACAGTGCACACTTAAATGTCCCTCTTTTAAGGGGACATAACTCACAACATTTCCTTCATAGATATTTGGGTTTTCCGGTCTTGCTTGTCCTAGCATGGGTGGGTGTGTGCAAGAGTGCAAAGGGACACTGATCTGAGTTCAGCATAAGGAAGACCGGTCTCCTGTTGCATAGTAGTGATGGTCCCGGCTGTCCTGGAACACAGATTCAGTGACTATTGGTTAAGGACAATGTAGACTAGGGACGGGGAAACTTCTTTTATAAAGAGCCAGAGAGCAAGTGAGTTTGACCTTGTGGGCCGAGTGGTTTCTGTTGACTGTTCCTGTCTATAAAAGCCACAGATAATTCATAAACGGATACAGTGACTGGACTCCAGTAAAACTTACAAAACCATGTGGAGCTGGGGGCAGAGGAAGTGAGAAGTGATTAACCATCTGATGGGTTCAGAGTAATTGTTTAATGGGCATAGACGCAAGGGTTCGGAAGATGCCTCACAGGGATAATCGCGCAAGTGTGAATGTGCTTGCCATGGAACTGAACAGTAAAAAGTGATTCAAATAACAAATGTTAAGTGTTTTATCACCATAAAAATATTTCTTAATAAATTAAAAATAATCCTTCATGGTAGCTCACACCTATTATAATCCCAATCTTTGAGAGACCGAGACAGCAGGAATCTCATGAGTTTGAGGCTAGCCTGTGCTATGTGTGTGGTCTGTGTATGTATGCGTGCATATATGTATGTCTACAGAAATGATGAGTCCAGCCAGAGCTATCCAGCAAGACCCTATTTTGAAATAAACAAGCAGCAAACAGCCTGCAGGGCGACTGGATTTGGCCAATAACTGGATTAGAAGGCAACATACATAGGGGATGCTGAAGCAGGTACACTAGGTTGCAATGCTGACCGCCCTTGGGTTTCTTTTTATCTTGCAGGACTTGTTTGGACATAAACAGTTTCTTCCCCAGAGTGCGGTGATGAAGTGGCTGAGCACTCACGTTTGCGCCCACGTCATCATGGAGGAGCTGTGCACTAATCTCTTCTTTCTTATATGTGGCTTCAATGAGAAGAACTTAAATATGGTATGTTCGCCGGCACAGAGGCTTGGCCGCAGCTGACAGTTATTACCTACACTGAGTCCTCCCTTTAAGAACACGACAGTCAGCTTTAGCAAGTGGTCCCGTCTGCTGCTGCCTTCGGGCTCACTCCTGTCCCTTCTACATAGAATTCATATAGAAGCAAATAATTCTATAGTCATAGTCATAATATTTTATAACACTTATTCTAGTAGTGTGTTCTATACAAAAGCTATGTGTGTTTAAACCTGGAATCTCATATACATATATACACAGAGATAGATATTATACTCATTTGTCTTTTC